CCTGCCTAGGCAGGGGGTTGGACTAGAAGACCTCCAAGCTCCCTTCCAGCTCTGCTATTGTATTGTATTGTATTCTGTACTCAATCCTTGCAGAGTGAGGATGGCATCGGTCGGCCTAACACTAATCTTCCCCCCTTGCAGCTGGATCTCAAGCAGCACATGGCCCAGAAGCTGCTGGCATTGAAAACCCGGCGTTACCATCCGGGCAGGGCACCCCACAGCTGGGCACACGAGATTGACAGCTGTGCCATTTGCCTGGACCAGTTTCAGAGGAATCAGGTGAGACTCGGGATAAATCTGGCTGTGTCTGTTTCCTGTCCTTTGCTTCTAAAGGCTTCTGCAGATTTTCCACTTGCAAACTGAAGTTCATTTGAAGTTTGCGGTGAGGCTGGGGGGAAAAGTGACTCACGACCTAGTCCTCCCACTTACGACCTTGGCAGCGTCTCAGGGTTTAAGTGGTCACTCTTTGTGACTTTCCCAAGGGCTCCCCCACCCCCAAAACAACCAAAGGGAATGGGGAGAAGCCAGCTTCGTTCAAGGACGGCCGCCGAAAAGATGGTAACGTCAGACGCGATTCACTTAACGGCCCCTTTGCTTACCAGCAGGCGTTTCCATCCCAATTGCGATCGGAGGTTGAGGACTACCCCTATATCAGCCCCGTTCACACGGACTTTTTCCCCGTAACTAGCAGGACATCCTTTCATTCAGTTTCCCAACTTCTTGGATTTCCGGGAGGCGCTGAATTAGCAACTAACACAGCAGCTAAATTTGCACAATGTGCGCTGGGTTTTACACAGTTGCTAGTTTGGTGTTTAATATATCAAGAAAAGTGATGGCTCAGTGGCTAAGACACTGAGCTTGTTGATCAGAAAGGTCAGCAGTTCGAATCCCGAGCACCGCGTAACGGGAGTGAGCTCCCGTGATTCGTCCCAGCTTCTGCCAGCCTAGCAGTTCGAAAGCAGGTTAAAAATGTAAGTAGGAAAATAGGAACCACCTTTGGTGGGAAGGGAACAGCATTCCGTGCGCCTTCGGCGTTGAGTCATGCCGGCCACATGACCCCGGAGACGTCTTCGGACAGCGCTGGCTCTTCGGCTTTGAAACAGCGATGAGCACCGCCCCCTAGAGTCGGGAACGACTAGCACATAGGTGCGATGGAAACTTTTACCTTTAATGTTACAAAAATAACCTTGCTGAATTCTTTATAATTCTGTTTTTTTAAATGCATGCAAATGGCATTTTCAAGCGTCCCTAAGAAACGCCTGTTGCTACGGGGTGGAACTGATATCAAGTTGCTGGTTTTAAAACTCCAGCGACTTTTCAGAGGTTTAGACTTCGACTCCCAGAATTCCCTGGGCTGGCTGGGGAAAGGGGGGGGGATTCTGGGAGTTGAAGTCTACCCACCTTAAAAGTTGCTGAGTTTGGGGGAAATGCTGCTTCTGAAGGTCGCTTTGACACACGGCGAATGTTGGAATCTCTAACCGGGGAGCGGACAGAAGGTTAGTTGGTTCCCTCCATCGTAGATCCCTGGAGGTGCTAATCTCCAACCTACGAGGAACCTGCTACATCCCTCTGGGTCTGAACAAATACTGTGGGGGTAACCCTAACCCTAACACCCATTGGGGATGGTGTTCTGTTAAGATGCAGCTTGTTGTGCCTTAAAACGGCTTCTACTGTACTGCTGTAAAATGGCTTCTATTGTACAGTGCAGTGGAGTTGCCATGGTAACGACTTCACAGTACTCCACAAGGGGGCTCCCTTGGGAGGTACGCGGCTCCTCCTTCACTTTTCCTCGGGAAAAGTTCCGATTCGAAACAACCACCGGCATCGGTTTGTCCGACGGAATTTATAGGTGAGACTCTTTCAGACCTCTTTTTCCAGTCTGTCGCGCTGAGGTTCTTCCGGTCTTTCCTCTACCAACTCTTCCCAAGTGAGGGGGAGAAAATGCAGGTGGAGCACGTGGCCACTCCCTCTTGCCACACCTGAGTCTCTCTTGGCTTGCCCGACAGTGTCTCCGGGTGCTGCCCTGCCTGCACGAATTCCACCGAGACTGCGTCGACCCCTGGCTTCTCCTGCAACAGACTTGCCCTCTCTGTAAACACAACGTTCTCGGTAAGAGCCTGGTTTGTTGGGGGGGGGGGATGTTAGTGGTGGTAGAGCCATTTGCCCACCCCCCACCCCCGTGCTTTCTGAGCCTTTCCAAAATTCAGTGGCAGAAGCGGAGTGAAAACATTGATATATTGAATTGGTCACATGCGAGAAAGGTCGGCTTTCGTGGGGGTTTTTTATGTTGTTCTTTTGTTTGGTTTTCTTAATACGTCATTTTTTATTAAACTTTTTACAAAACAAGACAGAAAAAAAACCAAATTCAACATCCATTCTTCCCCTTCCTAAGACAACGGTTATCTATCTATCTATCTATCTATCTATCTATCTATCTATCTATCTATCTATCTATCTATCTATCTATCTATCTATCTCTATCTATCTATCTATCTA